GGGGGGGGGGGGGGTATAAAATATTTGCGGCACGATTATTTTTTTCAGTCTCATGTCTCTGCAGGATTCAATTTATTTATGCATTTAACCTCTGCAAGAATTTGTTTCAAGACTATTTACACTTTGCTGTTTGCTTGCACGATTTTTTTCCTCTGACGTAATGGCTGCACGAATTTTTTTCCAGGCATTTTCCTATTTTTCTTTGCACGAATTTTTCTTTGGGAATTTTTACACCCCCCCCCCCCCTCCCTCCCGGGATTTCTAATGGTCCGCCCCTAAACCGCATCAAATACAAATATTTATTTGATATTTGATACAAATGTGACGAATTGCAACAATAACTCAAGTAGATTAATACCTGTATCTAGCTTAAAATTACCATTAAAACACTTAAATGGCCATAATAACCTTAGGGAATCCATATTTTGCGGAGAAATTAACAGTACTTAACCACAGTGGTCAGAACTTGGCACTTGGCACTTACGGTTTCCATAGAATCATACCACGTGACATTTTTAGTGATTTTAAAGGAAAATATCGTGACCAATTTTCAACGGCGTTGCGGACTCGGAAAATTGTAATAAAGCTTATACAGTGTCTTAACTTTAGGTTTCCAACTTCTGATCATGGATGAGATTTGTTATTCAAATCCAAAAATCAATAATATCCTTGAGAGTTGGAATATCTCAAGGATATTTTTGATTTTTGGATTTTAATAACAAATCGTATCCATGATCAGAAGTTAGAAACGTAAACTTAAGACATTAAAGTATTCAAAGTGAACAAAAACGGAACCTTTATTACGATTTTCCGAGACCGCAACGCTGTTGAAAGTTCAAAGTTAGTCACATATTTTATTTTAAAATCACCAAAAATGTCACGTAACATGTTGCCATGGAAACCCTAAATGTTCAAGTGCTCTGACCACTGTGGTTAAGCACTGTTAATTTCCCCGCAAAATATGGAATCCTTAAGGTTTTATGGCCATTTAAGTTGGTTTTTTTGGTAATTTTAAGCTAGACCCAGGCATTAATTGGGAACAAATTTATAAACTTGTTGAACGTCTTTAAGGTGGCTCGATATAGTTATCACAAGAACCCTGCGCAGGAATCGCGAACTCAAAACCGGGTGACCATTTTTTACGCGCAGGTCGCGGAAACTGATTAACAAAATAAAAAGAACTTCCAAAATGACCTGACGTGAGCAGTTGCTCGCGCCATATCACGTCATTGCGCGTGTTCTATAGCGTTTTATGTCAATTGCTGATGTCATTAGAATTTCCATTTTAGAAAACAATGCGCTATATCTTTTTATTTTGTCTGGTGACCTATGTTCAAATTTTGCATACTGTATTGCACCGCTAAAAACTTTCATTATACAAAAAATAAAAAAATTCTGTAATGCCAAAAAAATTTTACCGAAGAATATGACATTTTCCCATTTTCAAAAAAAATGGCATTACAGAATTTTTTTATATTTTGCTAAATGTTAGCTTTTCGTCCAAGTAAATAATGTACGAAAAAAGATTGGGGGTAACCATGCTTCTTTTCTAACTATACGAGGCGATAGACCATTTTGGAGTGAATTTCGTACACGTATGTCGTCATAGCAAAGAACTATCTGTTACTAAAACTAATATAATTTGAAAGCAGAGTTATCAAAATATATAAAAGACCCAATATCTGCTGAATAAATCCTAAAAATGCGTAGTTTGAACATGTCAAAGTGTTGAACATGACCTGAATTTTTGAAAACTGTATCGAGCCACCTTAAGTTTAAGACACAGAGTAAGGCTAAGATAATTACACAACCTGACAAATCATTACCTTCGAAAAGAATTGATTATACGCATCGAATAATTTACTTTGGCTAAGAAGTAAGGGACCAAGCATGATTGGATGGTGACCTCCCACTCTTGCCACCACTTTTAGATTTCTATACGTTGTCACCGTCACGTTAAAACGCCCCAGATTGAATGTTGGGTCCGCCCCAAGGACGCAGAAGTTCTTAGGATCCGAACAATATTTGACAAGATCGGATAATTGCCAATCATACGCCAGAATACAACGCATTTCCGGTGCACCAGTTACCTCCCTTATGAAAGGAGTCTCATCGCGTTGCAGTTGCTGTCTCTTACACTGCTCGAGCAGAATAACAAGAGAGTCGATATGCATCATGCTCCTATCACTATGACGCCTCAAATACTTCGCTTGTGCTACATTTCGGGGAAGATCACTCGCAGCATTCGCATGTCGCACCCCTCCTTTTTCCTTTTGGACAGTGTGATACGCACTTTTGGGTTTATGATCAGATGATACTTCCTCAAGCATTGCTTTTGTGCTTTCTTTGGTCCTTATGTACGCACTGCTACTGGACTTTGTGGAATTACCGTGAACTGATGGTTCTACAACGTGCTCGTCGCCATCAAACAGGTACTGAAGGAAAATCATATTTGGATATTCTGTAAGTAATGAGATGGGAAAATTAGATTCAACTTTAACGTCAGTAACAATATATGACAATTTATAATACAAAGTAAAACACCCTAGGGATTAGATAATTGTTACGCAGAACTGATCCTCTCATGAAAACATGAAACATTCACAGGGTTTGAAATAGCTGCCGGCGATAGTCGGCAGTTTTAGGATCTTGCCGGTGCATATTTTTACTGATTTGAAAGCGTAAGCCGTAACTCAAAAGATTTTGGGATATGCGAAATTGATTGTGACTAAATAAATACAAAATTCACTCGCTTGCAATAACATCAGGACGTATATAACACGTACATATATTTGCAGTTATATATACTGTCTTAAATATTGTCATGACTTTGAGTTGTGTTTTTCCTATGCCCATCAACCTGCATGCAGTTCAGTTGCGGAAAGTCCAGATCCTTTTATCGTTGTATTGTTGTAGTGGTGCACGCGTTTCGCTGTATATATATATATATATATATATATATATATATATATATATATATATATATATATATATATATATATATATATATATATATATATATATAAAGATGAAAATGTTCTAGAGTGTGTATTATATAATTTCCATACCCAGCGCAAGCAGAAAGATGTTGTCTGCCGCGGCTGGGTCTTGAACCCGCGACCTTCGAATTATTAGATCGACGCTCTACCAACTGAGCTACACGGTCAGACGGATTTAAGACTGGAAATATATATATATATATATATATATATATATATATATATATATATATATATATATATTATATACAGCGAAATATGACCTCAAAAACAAACCTACAGAATTATAGGGATATTATCTGAACGTTATTTAGAACCCCGCATTCAAGTCCTTGCCCCTTGGCCTCTTTATAGCAACTTTTGCAAAGCCTAATAAGTATATACATGGTAGCATTGCGGCTTTTTTATTTGTGTCATTTGATTGGGATGGGTAATTCCAAAAAAATTATACCTTCTACAAACGATGCATATTTCTTTAGGTCAGGCGACGACGTATTTTTGAAATACATTCTCTTCAGGGTATATACTCTATTCTTTTTTGCGCATTTTCTCAGCAATTCTATATCGTGAATTGCTAACTGGTGTCGTCGTACGCCATTGTTTCTCCAAGACCCCATATCGTCGCATTTCCAGTCAAGATTATTGTCTAATGATGTAGTATCCAAGAGGAAACACGCATTATGCGATACCAATCTTGGAACACGAGTACACGTTCGTGATATCTCTAAGGGTTTTAATAGTGCAATTAATATCTCATGCGATGTTTTGACAACAGAGGTCCACTCGTATACAGGAGTAGCTGCGTCGTCGTTGTAATACTGACCAGGTAACCTATAAAAATAAAATAGGTTAACGTTTCTGTTCAGTTAGCTGCAGATAAGTTTAAACAATTTTATGTTGTAGCTTTTCAACACGTGTTTTATATATAGTAGAACTATGTAGCCGGTTATTTTTTTTTTTATCTTGCAACTTCCGACTAACTCTTCGACGAAGGGCATTAATACTAATAGCTCGAAAAGTCGGATTTCTTATATATACGCTCAGGGATACGCTATAGGAGTTTGCGCATCAATACACGCAAGCTGCATGGCGAAGCTGAAATGTGGAGCTATTGATCTAGATACTTGCGATAAGTGTAGTTGATCATATGGCATGCAACGCTAGATTCGATATGCAATTTGTCTTGAAGTTCATGCTATTGCGACAAGTGACAACTGATAAGATTAAAAATTTAATGTTGTAACAATGACAATATGACTTAATATACTATAAAATGCAAGACAAATGGAATGCAAAGATAATCAGACCTCTTCATAGACAACGAATATTCACTTTCATCTGAACTTTCCTCGCTGCTGGCGTTTAACTTCTCCCTGTATATTGATAAAAATAGAAACTAGTATGCAATCTTTTGACATGTAAGATTCACATTAACTGAAAAATATATGTAGAATATATATATATGTAATATATATATATATATATATATATATATATATATATATATATATATATATATATATATATATATATATATATATATATATATTATTATTATTATATATATATATATATATATATATATATATTATATATATATTATATATTATTATTATTATATATATATTATATATATATTATTATTATTATTATATATATATAATATTCCCCAAGCAATTAAAGCGGAAAAGTCGAACCCAAGCAATTAAAGCGGAAAAGTCGAATACGAGCGCGAAAAGCTTGCTGGGAATCGCTAACAAAATCATTAATTTTTTAGCGATTCCCATCAAGCCTTTCGCGCTCGTATTCGACTTTTATTTTATTCGTATTTGAAATAGCTGTATATAACGAGTAAGCGAATAAAACGAGTGGGGGAGCTTGAACCCCTGGTCGCCGAAATCCGCATTTTAAGAAATTTGAGTTAAACCCGAGCTAAATAAAATGAGTCGACTTGCATGTACGTAGCAATTCTATTATTTACCATACCATGCAAGCGTATACGTTTCATATAAAATTCCGCTTACATTTTGTTTGTTCGTATTGGTGGCTCAGATTGAAAATCATCGTCATCGGATATAGTGATAACCTAATTAATAGGATTTGTACAAGTTAGGTTTATATCATTATACCGTAAAGCCCAATTGGTATTTGTAGTTACGCTTATTTATTAATCGCTTGTGCGTGTGTATACTGACATCTTTTCTTTTGAGCGACTGTCGTGATGGTTCGGCAAGGACGCTGTTTGACGATTCTTCTGAAAGTTTTGTTGTGTCATCATCTGTGTGAGAGCTAGTGCTGAAACAGACACAAAGAAGGGCTTATTTGTTTACTTTCTATTAAAAAAAAGCCACTGATTCACCTGTTTAAAAAGAGCCCGTAGCATTTGCTATAGTACTATAGTATTATAGTATGAATATATATATATATATATATATATATATATATATATATATATATATATATATATATATATATATATATATATATATATATATATATATATATTCAGTCTATTGAACTAACAGTTTGAACAAAAAAAACTCTTACTTGATGAAATTAGATGGCACGTTTTCATTAGCATGTTCATCTATATCACAGTCAGAAGGAATGCTCTACAAAAAAACGATTACATATACTGCTTATACGTTCACAATAAACATAGTACAGGCATGTATAGGAACCACACAATAATAGATACACGTTCAAACGAGTCCAACATCGTTGGTCCAATAGTGTCCAACGATATTGCACACTGTTGGATGGAAATTTAAACATAGTCAAACCGGATCCAACATCAGTTAATATCAGCTAGCCGTAAGTGTATAACATGTGTTCAAACGAAGGGAACAAGTTGCATTCAACAATTTTCGATAATTTCAGAACGGTATGATGTTGGCCTCCGATCCTTCGAACGGGCCTTTAAATATGGCAAATTATAGAATGGACAATTGTATATGCATGCGTTACCGTTTCTTGCCAGGGCATCGGCGTTTCATTTGCTTCTTCATGCAAGCTTTGGCCTGTATAATGACGCGATGAACTGGTCACATCTGTTAAATTGCTGTAGGCGCTGCAAATATACGCGGAGGACATATAAACAAAAATGACTTAGAGGTTATACATTTCTAACAATACTAAGCAAATTAACAGTTATGTTCCATATATACTGTATACAAATAAGGGAAACTATTAAACCTGTTTATAGATTCCTTTTCTATCATAGCAAGCGATTGTGGATTCTCGTTGCATCTTCCACACGACTGAATCCGCTGTTTCAACCAGGTGCAACATGCCTCGGAAACTTCTATCGCCGATCCACTGAAAATCTTCAAAATACCGGTTGAGTGACCCCCAACTGAAACAGGAACAGGATGGGTATCAAGGATGAAAATGCTTGACTTGTAAGAACCAATGAGTAGCATAAGTGGCTCACAAGTGTATAACCCAATATGTAGGTCCTGGGAGGCCATAGCTTTTACTGCGTCGAATAACACTGTCTGTCCCATTTCAGATAGCGCAGCATGAGAGTATGGTAGCTCTTCGGTGAACTGGTAGATGTCCGGAAGGCAGTTGTTCGCCTTCAGCAGTTTGTAAGCCTCCAACACATCGTAGTGCGATGAAATGTCGCGAAAGCGGTTAAGAACTCGAGGAAAAGTGACCAGTACAAGTTCTGCCATTTCAGCCATGTCTTCCCATGACAGATCCTCCGCATCGTTTATGATTTTGTGAGCTGTCATAATGGTAAGAAAAGCACATGCGTTGGTTCCATCATCTGGTATGTCACAGTAAACAAACTCTTCTCGGTTTTGGACCTCGTTTATTCTCCATTCTGGATCTTCTTGTATCTGGTGGTCAGTGTTCTCTTGAAATGTCGCCTGACTGACCCTCAAGTGGATTTCTGCAACAGCTTTATCCGGCATTTCGTCTAACCTGGAACCAGAGCGTATCGAGCGGTTTTCGATGAGAAGCATTTTTGTAACCTCTATGATGGAAGGTCGCAGAAGTGGGTCGAATTCCGAACATACATCAAACACCCTGTGGAGCCCGGCCCAATCTTGTTGATGACGTGTTGCGTATTTCTCTTGACCTTCAGGTTTCTTGTTCTCTCTAACAAACTTTGTCAACATGTTTAGCGGGTTACCATCAACGGATTTACAACTTTTGATATTTTGTTCATATGGATACTTTAACCCAGGATTTATGACAATAAATACAACCATGCCATATGCCCATATGTCAGCTCTTTTTAGGTCGCTTAAAGAGGCATTTTTCAGTCGCAATTCGTCAACTAAGAGTTCCGGGGCCATGAATACAGGAGTACCTATATTAATAATATTAAAACCATTATAGAACATTGATAGCTAACCACATCGCTAGTCTACGAGTCGTGCATCC